CACATATATAGAAGGCTAGCTGGGATAACTGTACTGCTGATGTCTGGTGGTTTATTGAAAGGAACAGTTAATTCTTAAATTTTTTCATATTTTGACCAATTTTGCATGTTTATATCTGGTAATCTGAGCAATTGCTATGAAGACAACAATGTGCAACATAACAACCATTGATGAATTCCTACCATCCTGTCTAATGAAACTCAGTATTGTGCGTAATGTTTTTTTAAATTATTATTTCCTTATTCTCTGTAATGGTTTGATCAAACTTGCTTTCTTATATCTGATAATCTGAGCAACTTCGTTGAATTTAACAATATGTAGTATAACAACCACTGTTAATTGCTATCATTTGGTTTGAAACCCCATATCATTTTTAATGTCCTTGCTTTGTTTGTTTGTATTTTGCTATTGTTTTATTTACTATTCTCTTTAAAATAAAAACTGAATAAAATAAAGAAAAGAAAATGCAAAGGACCAGATAAATAGCTCAGTGGTAGAATTCTTGCCTACCACAGAGAAAGGCCTCACTTCAGTGCCCAGTATCTAAAGTAGTATAATTGTAATGCTTTTCTATATCAGATAAAATAGCAACAAATGGCTTTTCAACAGGGGCCATAACTTTCTTTTTTCACAATGCACTCTGGTCATTCGTCAAATATACACAATTCCCTAAAGACTCCATACTCCCAAGCATTATACTCAGGGAAGAAAGCTAAGATACTGGAGAGGTTTCTCTCAGCTCCAATTTCTACTTAGCCCAGAACTCTATGACTTTCTGCATACACATACTCACTTCAGCCAATGTGCGGAACATCCTCACAATACTGCAACATACACACCCAGGTCTCAGGAAGCCAGGGGTGAATCAAATTGCTGCCTTGAATACAGCAGATGCTCCACAAAGGCTGAACAGGGTATGAAAGACTCATGTCTAGTGGTGAGTCTGCATCACAGCCACTAGAGCAGTGTGGGAGTGGAAGAGACACCGGGTGCTGGTAGAATGGCACCACTCATAACCACAAGGACTTGAGAGGGAGGGTTGATCACTGAGGGACATGGGGTAGGGGTTCTGCTCGTGAAGGTATGAAAGCTTCAGCTCATTTGGATAGAGATTGGACCTCACAGTGATTTCCAAACATCTCCATGATTGACTGTTCCTCAGTCTAATCCTCTGAACTACTTGGAAGTTTTGAAAGAGAAATAATAATCACGCATTCTGTAGCAGGAAGGGAAAAGAGCAAGCCTCTTTTATTGTAAAATAAAAGCAATCAAAAGGAAGCCATGATTTCAAGACAAACAAAAATTCATTTCTATGTCTTCTGCAAGGGGCCCTGTTGAGGAAAGCACATCCCAGCCAACACCTAAGGCCCACGGGGATAGACTGGCACTGCCCTCCCCCCTCACAGCAGATACAGTGATTGCAAAGGACAGGAGCTCTGCATCTCCCAGGCCATTTCTGTG